TTTTTTTTTTTTTTTTTAGTAAATGAGAGACGAATGGTTGTGGGTATTGTAAACACTAAATAAATGTTAATTTTTATTATTATGTGACGATAGGGCTTTGTTTACCTTTTTGCCTTTTTAGTCTATTGGCAGACTGCATTTTTTCCCCACAGATTAGTTTATTGTGGTCATTCATACATTTTTCATCACATATTCATTGCTTAAAATCTCTTTATCATTCTAGGTTATTAGATCAAAGTTTTAAGGGAGATATAATAAAAACACAAGAGTTTCCGAGTATTCTTACACTCATTGGCAGAAATCCAGTGGGATATCCTTTGGCCTGGCAATTTCTGAGGGACAATTGGAATAAACTTATACAAAAGTAAGTCATGTCGAAATGATTCTGTAACTGGGTTAAGTTACTTATCCTTGCTTTGTTTTAATAATGGGATTTTTTGAGTAAAGATAGGAAATAGAAGTACTTGAAATGTTTTTTATACCTTTAGAAAATTAAAAACCCTAATTCAATTCCTTGGTGTGGCACTGTGGGATAAAGGACTGGACCACAAGGTGGGTTTGAACCACAAAGTCGGCAGTTCAAACTTATCAGTCGCTTCTTGGAAACCCTATACAGGATCGCTGTCAGTCAGAACTGACTAGACAGCACACGACACAGTAACAACAGTAGTGTCTGGGGAGTCCTGGTGTGGAATTGTGGGATAAAGCACTGCACCGAAAGGTCAGTTTGAAATACAAGGTCAGCAGTTCAAACTCACCAGTAGCTCCTTGGGTACCCTATACCCTAAGTTGGGTCACTATAATTCAGATTCAACTTTATGGCACTAAACAACAAATTCAGTGCTAACTGATGAATCTGGATAGGTAACTATTCCATTCCATCTTCAATCTTTCCTTCATGTGCTCACTGGTGGATGTGAAGTCTTCCTCCACACAGTTCAGCTCAGGTCTTTTGTGACCCCTTCTGCTGGTATGCATCTGCTTTTTCCAAACTGTTTTAACACTTACTACATCTATAGACCTGGTGTAGGGCTGTAGAATAAGCATTAGACTACAAGATCAATGGTTCAAACCCAGTAGCGGCTCCTCAGAAACTGGAGACTGGGTCTCTATGAGTCGGAACAGATTCAATGGCATTTAACACCACCACCTATATAGCATCATTGTGTGGCATTGTAGGATAAACACTGGGGTACTGACCACAAGGTTGGTGGTTCAAACCCACCAGGTATACATTGGAAATCCTATACAGGATCGCTATGAGTCAGAACCGACTTGATGGCACTTAACAACTTCTCATTTTGTTTTTGGATACTGTATGAGTTTCCCGTGGCTATTATAACAAATTGCCATCAACTTGGTGGCTTAAAAAGGTACATATTTATTGTTTCACAATTCTGGAGGCCAGAAATCTGAAATCAAAAACTCTTGGGGTGAATCCTTCCTTGTCTTTTCAGTTTCTGGTGGCTCCAGGTGTCCCTTGGCTTGTGGCTACATAGCACCAGCCCCTGCTTCTGCCATCTTTTCTTTCCTGTGTCTTTTTTTTACCTTTATCAGGACACTTATAATTTAGGTCCTACCCTAATCCTAAGGAGTTCTAGTGTGGCGCTGTGGGTTAATGCGCTAGACTGCGAAGTTGGTTTGAACTGCAAGGTCGGTGGTTCAAGCTCACCAGTAGTTCCTTGGAAACCCTATACAGGGTAGCTATGGTTTGGAACGGACTCGACGGCACTTAACAACAACAATCGTAATTCCAGAATAATCTCATGTTGAGATCCTTTACTTAATTACATCTGCAAAGTCTCCTTCCCAAATCATATATTCACAGATACTGGAGATTTGACTTTGCATATATTTTTTTTGGGGGGACCACCATTCAACCCACTACTTAATTTTTTTCTTCAGCTGTTTATATGTATTTAAATTTTTTATAACTATATCTTAACCCACTGGAAGGTAGTGGTCGTGTCATAGACCTCTCTCATGCCAACCCAGTTTGAATGAAATGCTGTAATGTGAGAGGAATTCAAAATACCTGTTAAATGAATAAATATTTCATAATCCATTTGATCATTTCTGTTTCTAGGTTTGAACTTGGCTCAACTTCCATAGCCCACATGGTAATGGGAACAACCAATCAATTCTCCACAAGAGCACGGCTTGAAGAGGTAAAAATATCTGTTTTGTTAAACTTGCTAAGTGACAATAGGCTAGTAAACATGGGGTAGACAAAATATTTTAAGGAATGAGGTAGACATGGATTTTGTCATCTAGAAGTTCATTTTTAGATGCTATGCATAAACAAAAATAAGTTGCAAATAAATTACTGAAAACTGTGCCTCTTCCAAAGCATGTTAAGAAGTCTTGTAAAACTTTAGAGTTTAAAACAACTCTAGAGATTTAATCCCTATTTTAGGATGCTACAGGTGAGAGTTAGAGATAGAAATGATGCACGTGATGACCCAGCTATTGTGAAGAGGCAGGTCTAGACTCTAGTTCTCCTTTATGCATGTTCATGGATTTCCTGATATTTGTTACACAGCCCATCTGCTTTCAGAAAGAATTCTAGGCAACTTATAAGATCCATATATAAAAGAAATATTAACATAAAAAATGAAGAGCCATACAGTGGATATAAGAAGGTAATTATGCTAGAGGGTTAGGCTGAAGAAAGTTACTATAATTGAACCCTGTATTTATTACAGAGTATTTCAGGAGCAGTGAAAAAATAGGATGAATTATCTTCATTATCTGGTAAAAAAACAAAAACATGAAACATATATCTTCCAAGAAGGCAGACTTTTCTCCTTCCTAAACTCGGAGAAACTGGATGTGTAGGCCACTATGTTTAGCGGTGTTTCTTCCATAATGATGTTTTCCAGTTAAGGAGCCTTAGTGTTGTAGTGGCTAATTGCTAAGCTGCTAACTGAAAGGCCATCAGTTCAAGCTCACCAGTTGCTCTATGGGCAATAAATGTGGCTGTCTGATTCCATAAAAAATGACCACTTGGAAACCATATAGGACCATTCTACTCTAGTCTAAAGGGTTGCAGTGAGCTGGAATTGGCGGAACGACAGTGGGTTTTTGTTTTATAGTAGTGTAGTAAGAACAACTTTATGTGGCTTTTAAATGTTTAGATAAATGTTTAAGTAAAATCTGAGAGCGTAATATTACATTTTTAGGAATAGCTCCATTACGTGGTCTGGTTACACAGTAACCTAACTTGATGTAGGGCAAGAACTATGAAGATGCAGAGGAATGAAAGGTTGCTATATTCCATAGTCTGCAGTTTTCAGTTACCTTCCCAGGCTTGTAAAATTAACTTGCACATAATAATTCAAGCAGGAACTCCTGTTAGATCTAGAGCAAAGGTGTTCTGTGTGATGACTTTGGGATCAGATGGACAGCAACAAAATCTATCATTCATTCATTCATCTGAATAGTTTCTCATTATCCATTCAGAACTTATTTATGCTATTCTTACTATATGCCAGGTATGTTTTAGTATTGGGGTACACTGATGAACAGAACAGAAAAGCACCTACTTTCATGGACCGTGAATTCTAAGAGGGAAAACAGTTAATTATAGGTTACCTATGTCCAGTAGTTATAAGCTCTGAAGATGAATAAGGCAAGGTAAGGAAAGTGGCTGTGGTAGAGACCGCTGCTGTGTTCTACAGAATGATCAAGAGATATCTGAGCAGAGATCAAAGTGCAGCTCTCAATGGGAGGAGTGTTCTGGGAGAGGAAAGATCAAGTACTAAGACCCTGAGACAGGGCATAGAAATCAAACAGCCTGAGGTACTGTCATCAGAGAGCATCCTGCAGACATTGAAAACGTGGCAGTCATCTTGAGTCTTCACATCTAGTTCATCTCTCACTGCATCCTGTTGGTTCTGGTTCCATCATATACACCATATCCATCCACTTCTCTTTTCTGCTCCTAGCCCAGTCCAACTTTTTCCTTCTTTTACCTAGCCTCCTCCAGTAGCCGCCTACTGACTGGACTACCTCCATTCTTGCACTTTGCCTTCTCTACATTAAAAAATGCAAAACAGCCCAACTGACCCCCTTCTTGAAACCCTATTGTTAGAATAAATTCTTATCACCTTCCTTTCCGTGTACAAAAACTACCATGATCCTGACCACCTTGTGCTCTCCTGTGACCTATGGTCATTCCCATAACACCCCAGTCACTCAGACCTCCTCTTGCGCACACCTTGTCTCTAAATTTCTTTTTCCCTCTATCTAATGCCTTACTCTTCCCTCGACTTTGGCCACAAAAGCTCATTTTATTTTTCTGAGGTCCCATCTCAAATCTCCCTCCCTCACTCCCTCCACTACTATTATGCCAAAATAAAAAGCCAAATCCACCCCAAACCAGTTGCCACTGAGTCAATTCCAACTCCTGGCAACCCCACGTATCTGAGTAGAACTAGGGTCCAGTGTTTTCAGTGGTTGTGATAATTAGGAAGTAGATTGCCAGACCTTTCTTCTGAGTTGCCTCTGGAACAAAACTGCCAGTTCTTTGGTGAGCAGATGAGTGCTTACCTATTTGCACCACAGGTACTGCTGACCCTATCATACCCACATTTATTATCTTCACAGTACATTGTTAGTCATCAGTTTACTGGTATCTTCCCAGGTAGACTGTATACTCCATGAGGGCAGGGAACATTCTTGATTCACTGCTTTATCCTCATTATCTAATAAATAAGGTGAAGGGATGAATGAGTGCCAGAATCACATTTGTGAATAAATGTGAAAGAGGTTGAGTCCCTGGGGTTTGGGCTTTGCTCTCATTACCTAACTTCATCTTTATACCACTCTGCAGTGGAGGACAGATCTGCATCTTATAGATGGAAACTGAAGATTTGCTTGAGGTCAAATTAGTAGGATAAACCTGCTTTTCTATCTCTATATGTTATTTGCTGTCCCCCCAAAAATTCTTCCAGGAGACAGGTTTGAATCAAATAGAGATACTGCATTTCCAGGGCAGAAGACGATGGAAGAGATAATTTTGGTCAAGAGAAAAGTGAGAGAGGGCAAGGGCCAGTGGCTGACCTTGGTACAGCTCTTGTAGAAAGTGTAGTTTTCAGTGGCACCATCTTGATGAGCTCCTCCAGGATTAATTTGACCAACTAGTAGTTATTGATCTGACTGCTGATGGGTGCCCAAAGTGATTTTTTACTTTAATGTGAATCAGTCTTGAGTCTTCCCAATGTATGAAACAGTAGGCTGAGCCACAGTGAAGGGCAGGGCAGTTAGTGAAGGATAATGAATGGTAGGGGCTGTCTACTTGCTCAAGGATGGCATGTCTTCAGCTTATTGAAAACTTGATATAATATTTTAAAACAAACATGCATCATTTATGATTAGAATTTCATCTGTCAAATGCCTATTCCTAAACCTTTTATTCCAACGTAGTATTATGACATGGACTTTCATCAGAAAAAGTTTAGTACCCTTTAATTGAAACAGTTAATGGTCAATGTTTCACTGAAGCCAGCTTAAGGGGTTTAAGATATTAGAGGAATCAAGCACAAAGAACTTTACCAAGATATAGTCAAGGGTCTCTTTATCTCTACAGAATCTTGGGGAAATTTATACAAAACCTATCTTGGAACAATACATGAGCTGTAGATAAGGATAAAAACTTGGGCAAGGTCTGGGGGCTTACCACCATAACTTGCTAAGAACCCCCATTCCCCACAGTTTTTCTATAATAAGGCCAGGCCCACAGGGCAAGGCTGCACTGATGTGGTTGGAACTGTTTTTGCTGGCAGAGAAAAGACACTGCTGCACATTCTGCTTTTCGCATACGACGTTTATAAAAATGAAGTTCGCATCTGTGTGTATATAACAGGATACACACTAACTAGACACACTCAATTAAACCTTAATTATCAAGATGGTAAACAGTCAAGTTTTTGCGACTGAATGAAAAGGAGCTGCAGAAAAAACACACAAAATCTGACATCATGAGGCATGAGCTCATTTCATTTCACTGAAGTTTATGTGTACATAATAATCGTATCCAGGCACCTGGGGCTACCTTCTATATGGAATTTTAACAAATGTTGGAATTTTGGCTTCAGTTTTCTTTAACTAGCCTGAAGTCACTTACATCTGCTTAATGTAGTAAGACTTTTTATTTTCCTTACCAACCCACCTTTTTTTTTTCTCCCTCATAAGGTAAAAGGATTTTTCAGCTCTTTGAAAGAAAACGGCTCTCAGCTCCGCTGTGTGCAACAAACAATTGAAACCATTGAGGAAAACATACGTTGGATGGATAAGAATTTTGATAAAATCAGAGTGTGGTTGCAAAATGAAAAACTTAGACAGCTGTAAATGTTCATTCCCTGTCAGGATCCTGAGATTTATAATTACCCAAATTGTATTCAATGTGAGAGTTTTGAAACTAGAGATGGCTTCTATTGGTGTCAGCTGATGATACTTCCTTTCCCTTCAATTCTGTACTCATGGACCACTCCTGTGACAAGATTGGCTGTTTTTTCCATCAGTGGATAATTGGTTGTCTATTGGTGTTGTCCTGACATCTTCGTACACCCAAGTGGTGGATTCCCTAGTACCATGAGGAGGAAATACCATATCCACCTCATTCTGTGTTTGACACGTAAACCCGGCAACCTCCAACCCCTCCCAACAGCGTGTTTTCCATAAGCAGTGTTATCAATCTTCCTGAATGACTGTGAATAATGAGCAGTACTGAACAGTGAACAGCTGGATCACTGACTAAGAGGAAATGTTCCTGTGCTAGAACTCTCCTATTGGTTGCTCCAGATCCACTTTCCTCTTCCTTCCTCTTCACTGTTCAAATCAAGGACTGACACATGGGCGGAGCCATTAAGCATCTTTGCCTTTTGGGTCAATGGGGAGTCCCAGGAGGAGATTGGAGTTGGGAGAATAGGATGGAGAGAATGGAGTATTTATTCCCTTGATTTCTGTACAGGTTGCTGCAGGCTGGCCTCACTGAAATTCTAAGCCTGAGAAAGGGCCTTCTTCTCACAGCCTTCTCCATCTCTGGGTCTGGTTAACTGCTTCCTCCTCCCATCTCTTCTGAAGTAGGAATGACAAATTTTTCAAGACTAAGATGATTAAGAGAAATGCTGGTGCGCCATTGTAGTGTTACCTGCAAGATCAGTGCTTCAAACCCACCAGCACTTCTTCGAAACCCTATACACAGGGTTACTGTGAGTCGGAACCAACTCAACAGCACATAGCAAAAGACAATGGAATACAATGACTTTTCTGGACATAAATTTGTTCATAATTCCATTATTACACCTGCATGGTTAATGGTTTGAGAAATATATCACTGATAATTTCAACCCCAACATTTTCAACAGCCAAAATTTTAATATAAAATAATTTGCTTTAATTGTATTTTATACCTTGATTAGTGAAACATGAAAATCCTGACTTTCAGTTTGGGCCATCTGAGAAACCTATCTTTAGTTGCTTTGGAAAGTCCATTTTCTGAATAGATAATAGATTGTCACAATCATGTACAGAAGAAACCTTTGTGGTAATAAACGTTGTTTGTGTTTTACCTCTAGGCAGATATTTGCAATTACTTCTAATTAGATGGTGATAAAAGTGACTTAAATCCTGTTATTTACTCAACTTATAATTACCTGTAAACACCTGTGTCTTGAAGATACTTCTGATTTAACAAGAAGGCACATTCAGAGTACCTCAAATAGTATGTTTCTTAAATCTTCGGATTTTAATATGACATTTTGTAATAACTTCTATATATGCATGGAAATAACTAGGAATACTACAGCCATACCCTTGCAAATATGTCATTCAAAGTCAAAGATTTCGACACAATTTTTTTAAACACTGAAGAAACAAAACAAAAAAAAAAAACAACTTTACTGCCCAAACGGGAAAATTAGACTCTTAGGTAAAACCCCCTCAAGAAGAAGTTTTTCATTTTTCTTGTTAGCACTTACGAAGTCCATTTAGCTAACATAACACTGGTAGCTTAGACTCAAATATCCCAGACTCAAAATAATAATAACTATCTCTGATGCAAAAGAGAAATCGCTTTCTTAAGTGGGTACAGCTTGAAGTCCTAGGGGCATATGCATGATTTTCATAAAGTAATTTTAGAGAGTATTAACAAAATCTGACCCCCATTCTAAGCAAAGTTAGTATTTTTGCTTGCCTCTCTTAAACAGTATTGAATGATATTATTTTTAGTGATGTCAGCTAAGTCCAAATAAATAAAAAGTTTTAAATAGATGCTAAGGCCGGTTAAGCTCTCTGGGCCACAGTCATTACCAGGAAGTATAGATCAAAATTTCATCAGTGGTATCAGCGCTCTGGTAATAAACTATTTATTACTGAAAGAGCTCAGAAGTCAAAGTTGTAGGATATTGGAGTCTAGTTCTTAAAGTGCTGTGGGGGCTGGGGGTGGGGAAGCAGGTTTAAAATTTTAGAGTGTGATACATATTTTTTAATGTAGAAACTTGGTTTTTGCATTTGTTGACCTTAATTGCCCTAAAACCAGAGGCTATACAGTGCAGTTACTAATGTGGCAGGAGTGCTGAGCACACACACAGTTGCTGTCCAGGATTCATGTGTAGCGAACAGAAAGCACAGCTGAATACCACAGTAAAGAGAGTTCAAGTCTCATGTATATCCTAAGAATTAGATTTTATTTCTTATTCTTGGAACTTGCTATACAGTGACTTACAGAGTCAGCAGTTTGCTCTTCTGATGACTTCATTCAAGTCCCAGTGAGGTTTTTGCTGACTATAACATGTGACAGTCCTACCCCCTGGCAAGGGAGGGTACAAACTGGAAAGGAAGGGCTCGGTGCTTACTAGTCTGCCCAGGTGATGTATTATTAGCAGCCCAAGAGGAGATGTGTGCCCAATGTATAATACCTTACGTTTGATTTAGAAACATTAACCTAAAGAAACATCAAATGCACTTCAAAAGTCCTGGAGGAAAGGGGATAATGAGAAATCAGAACACTGAAAGACAGTTAATGCATTGCTTTCTAAATGGCTTAAAAAAAAAAAATCAAATTTAAACTGAAATGTTTAAAAAAAAATCAAATTTAAACTGAAAACACTAATGCGTTTTACAGGCACTGTGTATACAATGTGCAAAAGTTTGCAAAGGTTTTTGTGTTTTTTTTTTTTTTTTGGTTTGTGTTACTTTAAGAAACTTTATCAAATATATTTCTTACAAATATAAAGCTTCCTTTCTCTCCTGACTGAAGGCAATTTTTAAAAAGTTCAATGTTTATCAATAATACAATAACACAGGAAAACCAGGCAAATTCAATTTCTTCCCTGGAAAAGAATGAATTACAAACCAAGGTTTAGGATGCCCAAAGACTCAACAAATACCAGTCTACAAGCCACCCAGAAAAAGCTTTTGTTGCCAAAAGACTTTTGTTCTTCGAAAGTCACCATCCACCAGCTGAAGATTTTATATGCAGAAACCTTAAAAAAAAAAAAAATTCAGTGAGCCATCTGACATGTAGTTTTCATGTTACAGGCATTATAAATGTACTCTGTATCAAAAGCATTGCATTAACAGGTGATAAGGAATTTCCTGTAAGCAGATATAGGAATGAATTATTAATAGAAACATTTTTAAGTATTGGGAAAAGTCTTTGGAGCAGCTCTCACAAGTGTATCAATTTCTTGATACAAAATAAAAATGGATTCTGGTGAAGACAGTCTAACCCCATTTAATCTATATTTTGGTTTCTTTTAGGGTTTGGTAATGGGATCAGTAGGTGGTTGGTTGTAAACTTTCAGGATTTAGAATCTGACCTCACTTCTCTAAAGAGATTAACATATGGGCCCAGACTTCCTCATCCCTCAGAACTCTTCAATCACCATTAAAATAGAATCACACATAGTACTTTACTTTCCAAAAGTAAGACTGAAAAAGTGGTCATTCTTTTCCTTTGTCCTGTAATTCCCACCAGACCCTAGAAGTTACTCATTCTTTTTCTTTGTCCTGTAATTCTCACCAGACCCTAGAAGTTACTTCTCTGTACCCCACCATGTGTTGGTAATTAGTGTGGTATCAGTAGTGGAGGGATGGCATTTCATGACAAGATGTAATATTTGGCCTTGGCTTTGTCAATCTGTAGTCATGAGCATTTTGATTTCAAAGGTTCCATTAGCTTTAGATGGCTATTTTCTTTAAAAGTCTGGTGGGATGTATTCAAAACAGATTAATTGTAAGATTAATGCTTTTAAACATTCTTATAGCACAATCACTCCATTAAGTGCTTTTCAGAAAATGGGTAATTGTAGGTTTTGAAATGTGCATTTTATGCCAATAACAAAGTATGAAATACTCAATAAGTAGGCTTCGGTTCTCTTGCAACTATAACACACAGGTTAGTGGAAAGCACAGTTGTCTTTATTTAAAACAAATACTCTATTTACCAAAGACTGTGACTTTTAACTTGTATTTCCTTCATTCCTTTTTGGTTTGGAAGCGTCATCCTTTGCCTAAAGGGAAAAGAAATACCATCGTCAATTCACACAGTTCAGAAGTAAGGATGCAAAAAGCTAATCAATGAGGTATTTCATGAGGAGATGTGCTGCTCTGAATGAAAGGGGCAAAAGATGTTCCCCTCTAAGTTCCTCTTCCTCATTTGGCCCAAACACACACTGTGAATTCTTTAAGTTTATAACTTAAGTTTATAACTCTTGCTATATTAAAAAATATTTTTTTAAGGGGAGGATAAAGAAAAAAACATGCATAGATGTTCTCAGCTAACAGTGTTTGATTATTCTGTAGTGATCCATCTTTTCCTGGTACTTGGGCCATGACTGGGGGAATAATCCAACTATCATATAGGGTTATTATGCTTTCTATTTATTTATTTTTTAAAGAGTTGGTTGCATCATGTACTTTGTAGACATTTGGGATACAGTGGCTTGAGTAACTGGTGACTATGAATCCTGTTTCTTGTATATTACTATAGGATGAGCTTACTGTCTTGTTGTTAAGTATTTTGATGCAACTGGATTTTTTTTTTTTTTTAAGCTGCACATTTCTCAATACAGTAGGGGGGGTCCATAATCACAGTCATTTGAATCATACGCTCTTGGAATTGAAAGGAACCTGGAAGCTGTATAGTCCAACTTCCACTCCTGACCACAGCTTGAGTGATTTTAGAAGGTAGCTTCCAATTATTGTGCTTTGTTAGTACACAGCTGTCATAATTGGAGTCCTGTAGGATAAGTACTTGACCACAAGGTCAGTTTGAACTGCAAGGTTGGTCGTTCAAACTGATCAGCTACTCCTCAGAAACACTATACAGGGTCACTATTGGTCGGAACTGACTCGACGGCACTTAACAATATATGGAATTGGAGAACTGAGTGTATCTATGGTCTAGTATATTTATTAGACAACATGTGGATAGGAGATGGCCTATTGGCCAGTTTTCATGTTGCTCTAGATGTTACAATGTTGATTCATAGCAATCCTGTGTAGAGTTTCCAAGGCTGTAAATATATGTAGGAGCAGACAGCTTCATCTATCTTCCAAGGAACAGCTGTTAGGCTAGAACCCCACCTTGTGGTTAGCAGTGCAGTGCTAATCCCACAGAGTCACAACTTTACCCAGTTCTATACACTACTGTAGCCTAGCATTTATATAGACCACATACTTTGCAGTGATTTAACAAGGGTGGGGGTTGAAGGTAGGTAACTCAACTTGAAATGCTCTTTTAAATAAAAAGCATCAGTTATTTAAATAACTGTATTTTAAACTCAAATTTCTTTAGCAAGGCATGCTAGAAGATTGTGCTTACAAAAACCACTTGATCTAAATAGATTCCAATAAGAAATGAAACTATTGAAAGGTCAAACTCACTCAACGTAATAGCTAAATGAATTTGTGGTACACTTACCTTTGCTGAATCCTTTGATTTACCCCCATTCTTGGAAGCTTTGGTGCTGGAATTGTTCTTCTTGCTTTTGTCCTAAAGCATAGGAAATGTAGTCAGGTTACTGGTAATATCCATCCATCTAGCCATCAACTATACTGGCTTGTACTCAAATGAATCCAGATTGGAAACCCCCAATTTACTGAAATTATGTAAAACTTTTTAGGTGTGTTAGTCACAGTTGTTTGAACAATTATGAATGGATGCAGAAGTTTAAGGTAAGAGGTAAAATAGGATAAAAATGGTTATGTGGGTCACACTGATATTCTGTTAATTTCTGTGAAGAATGATTCATCTAGACCTTACTTTGCTCATCAAAACAATTCATCTCTACTGGTACAAACAGAACAAAAGCAGGCTACTGTTTTCAGTGCTCTGAAGAAGAAATATAACAGTGGGAACCTGAAGCAGGTTACATATCAAAATAACGCTCATTTACCAAAAGGCATTGTTTAAGAGTTTCTAGGGTGTGGCACTGTGGGATAATGCACTAGACAGCAAGGTTGGTTTGAACTGCAAGGTCAGTGGTTCAAACTCACCAGCCACTCTTTCCTATAAGGGTTTCTATGAGTTGGAACTGACTCGTTGGCACTTAACAGCAACAGTAGTGTAGAGGTGGCCTTAAACAAAATCACCCAATATGAAAAGGAGAGATAATTCTGAGATTGAGAGCTAGGCTTAAAGACCAACAGAAGAGCAGCAAACATCTGCAGTATTCATCCCTCTGAAAATTGCAGTGAAGGGCAGATACTCTCCTTTCTATTTGATTTGCAAGAAGGTGTTGTTTATAGATAAAATGCTCCACATCTGTTGAAATACACATTTGTTTTTCATTCCATTCACTTTCAATCACATGTTTTGAGCACCAGGTCTGCACTAAGCATTTTGCTAATGCTGAGTACACAGAGGCAAAAGACGAAAACTTACTGGAATATACCAGTAAAAGCGGGGAGCAGCTGTAAGAGAAGCCTTCCCCAGCAAGTAGTTGCTTGAGCCGGGCCCTGAGGAATGAGCAGGAGAGTCAGTCACAGGGGCAGTGAAAGACAGGTGAGGAACCCCAGATGACATATGGACATGAGGGGGTGTGCTGTAGTTAGGGACCGCTCTCATTTTAAGTGAACACAGGATGGTATTAAAGGTAGGCCATTATTGTTTTACAACAATCGAGTGTAGCAATCAAGAATGATAAGAAGATTGTATAGTAACAATAAATACATTTATGACTTAACATTAAGTAATGTTCTCACATGATGTGTGTGCCGTTGTAATATTTCCAACTCATAATGACCCTTCCTACAGGACAAAGTAGGATAGCCCCATAGGGTTTCAAAGGCTGTAAATCCTGATGGAAGCAGTGGGCCACATCTTTCTGCTGTGGACTGGCTGGTGATTTGGAACTGCTGACCTTTAGGTAAGCAACCGAGTGCTTTAACCACTGCCTCGAGGGCACCTTACTGTACTTATATAAGGACTACAGATGAATACAATCATGTAAAACATATACATATGGAAAAAGACAAAGGACATATGCCAAATAGTGAATGTGAGAATAGTGGAGTTATAGATTACTTTTCATATTGATTTTATTTAAATGTGTGTGTACACATATAAATAATCTTTAAACTATAAAATGAAGAGAGAAAAGAAAGCTATAGCACCTTTGCTGCTTTCTGTGAGGTTTCTGTAGTTGATGGACAGTTGTCAAGCTCTCTTGAGAGGTCATCAATGGGGTCATGGTCATCTGCAGGTTTCTGACATATTAATAGAAATAGTTATTTATCATGAAGAAACATCAGGGAAAAAATGCTGTTGGATATTTGCCCACGTCACTTAAAAATAAAAGATATTTATTAAAAAGAAAGATAACTGATGATATTCTCTCCTAACATTGCATTGTAAAAAAAAATCTTAAAACATGAAAATCTAGACAATTTTATTTTTATCTACTCTTTATATAGGTTAGTTTTTTCTAAGCATCAATTTTCTCATCTGGAATATAGCCCTGCCTTTCTTAACAAAGTCTGGTGAGGAATAATTTAGATATAGTATATATACATTGCACATACATATACCCTTTTTCTCCAACATTTTAATACAAAATAAAGTTAGAATTTTATTTTTAAATCAAAGTATGTTACTATTGTATTTACCTTTGATTCCTTAGATTTCTTTGTAGATGGCTTCTCTGGCTTGCCCTTAAAAGCAATGCAGGCTATTGGTTAAACACAGATCTTAATAAAGGCTCACTTAGGTGTAGTTAGTATTCACGTAATTATTGTCCAATGACTTTAAATAAAATGAAGTATTATTGGTTGGCTGTGTGCTGTGGAATCTGTTACAACTCAGCAACCCTTTACAGGGTTTGCAAGACAGTACATTCTTATGGCAACAGAAGGCCTTGTCTTTCTCCCTGGGAGTGAATGGTAGATTTGAACTGCAGACCTTGTGGTTAGCAGCCTAGTTCGTAATCCACTCTTTGTAATAATTGATAAGTCTTGGTACCTGTTTAACGACTACTTTCTCAACTTTGCTTAATTATTCCTCTTATAAATATTTCGATGGTCTTATGGGAAAATTCAAGAAAGGTAGTCTCATCCTGGAACTGAAAAACATTTAGAAAGTTTCTGCTATTCTGAATTATAATTCTACTTAAAATGCTACAAAAGTAAATTATGCTTTCATGTTTTATTTACTATAGTTTACTTATTACACTTGGGTGAGAAAGATGAGGCATTCTGACCCCACAGAGATTTAAAGCCTTGGAAACCAAATACAGGGTCACTTATGAGTAGGAATGACTCCACAGCACTTAACAATAACAACTTAGGAAGGACCTGAGGCATGGCAGTTACATACAGATAAATGATTTCTAGGCAGGATCACAAATACAATGCATCAAAGATTTTCCTATCTTCAAAGACAAGGGCATTAAATAGTACATTTCCAAAGAATAAATCAGAGTCAAGTGGTGTTAGCAAAGGGGGTAGGATTCAAGCACTTTGTACAAGATGCATAATTGCCCATTTGCAGAATTCTGAACACGAAAGCAAGGATAATTGATTCTGACAATGGAGACACTGTTACTATTATACTGCTATACTGTTTTATAGACTTGTTAACTTTGGTTTTTAAGTAAGTAATGCTACCGAGACAGCACTACTTAAACCAGGGTATCATTTTACCCACTAACTGGATTATTAGTACAGATAGAGAAGAGAAGGATGCAATTTGGAATTCCTTATTCTTATTTGATGAAGAAGCCTGAGAAAGGTTATTTGTCTTCTAACTGACTCACAAGATTTGTTGTTATTGTAGTTGTTAAGTGCCATCGAGTTGGTTCCAACTCATAGCAACCCTGTATAGGGTTTCTGAGGAGCGGCTGGCTGGTGGGTTTGAACTGCTGACCTCAAGGCTCAGCTGAACAAAAAATGGGAGCAAGGTCAGATCCAAGAAAAACTGACTTCCCAGTTAGAGACAAGAGACTAGGAACTTTTTGATAGAGCACATTTGGATATGGAGTCCTGGTGTGGCACGGCAAGATAAATACTGGACTGCAAGTTGGTTTGAACTGCAAGGTCGGTGGTTCAAACTCACCAGCTGCTCCTTGGAAAACCTATACATGGTCGATATGAGTCAGAAGCTCCTCGACGACACTTAACCAAATATCGGAGCAGAGCTTCTTTTTAAGAATATCATTTTACTTGACTGTCTCCACTAACAGTCTATTGCCGGTGGTCGAACAGGAGGCAAAAAGGGAGGCCCCAAATCTTGGAAGTGTCTAATTCATTTACTCAATTAACTATTCCACCAACTGCTCCTTTTCTGATCTTTCTAAACCAAGAGCCTCTTTGCTTCCTTTGGAATTGTATAGAATCAGTCATTTTTATAATCTTTTCCTAAAAAGGAATTCTTCTGTCTACCTGGCTTAGAGGAGTCCTGGTGTGGCGCTGTGGGTTAATGTGCCAGACTGCAAAAGCCATTTGAACTGCAAAGTTGGCGGTTCAAACTCACCAGCTGCTCCTTGGAAACCCTATACAGGGTCGATTCGATGACATTTAACAGCAATAACACCACCTGGCTTAGAATCACTCGATGACTGACTATTATTAAACTCTGTTGATACTACAGTGCCCTGAATAGTGAACATAAATAAATAATTGATCAAATAAAAATTAAACCGAATTTTAAGCAGCTTGCTCTTCAGCACTGGGGACCTATTAAAAACAGTTATGTTATATTTTTGTGCTATTATTAAAGTGTAAAGCTTCTATTCGTTTCAAGTGAGGCTGGGGGTAAAAAAGAGCAGTTTTGTAGTAGGAACCGTACTAGGGTATAAAATAGCTGTGTGGCCTCTCAGCACTGTCTGTCTTAGCTTACCTGGTCATCATTATCCAGGAGATGCCTGTAGTCCGGTGGGATAGTGTCATCCCTTTCTCCTAGTTTGTCTCTATGTTCAGCCTTAGCTTTTTCCTATAAACAATGAACAGATTATTCATTTCCACTGTCTCCTAGAGCATATATTCTAAAATGACATGTTTCGTATTTATTGAATTTTTATGAGGTAAAACATAGAGTCTTTATCTTTTTTTAAGCAGCAGAACAAGCCTGGCTTTAACAACCTATTAACTGAAGAAAAAATAAAGAAATCCATATGCTTCTGTCCATCTGCTGTCTGTATATGTGAAGTTTTCTCCTGTATATTAAGTTAAAATAAGTGATTAAGTAGTTATCCTCTGAAATCAGGCTTTAGTTTTTTGCCTGTATGAATTTCACTGTTCAGATAAAAATCAGGTCACTATACCTTGGCATATACTGATGTAATACTGAGAAATTTGACTCTTTATAAGCAGCCTTGAAGGGCCAGGACAAAGAGGTAATTGGAATTAGACATGCTGGGCTGCTTGTGAGACAGGTGTTGGAGCATCTACTGTGGAGAAAGCCACACCTGCCTCCCAGCATCTCCTCTCACTGGGGTGTGATAGGCTGGTCTCCATCACAGACAGCCTAAGGGAGCAAGGACTTTTCTTTTCTGCATCATTCTAATTTCATTTCTTCGAATGTTGATGTTCATTGTCAATTTCCTTGTGACAATGATAGAATCAAGACATAAAAATTTTGTGAACTATTCTGTTTGGGGGATCTGAGCTTTGCAGGCCATAAAGTGAATTCCTGGTTCCAACCTATGATGTAGACAGTTGAAATGAATTGCTATATATTGTATTAAAAGTTTATGTCCTTCCAGACACATCTCGAGATAATGCTGAACTCCTGGTCTCTTTATGTAGGCGTTTATATTCAGATTTAGTATGCCTGCTGAAAAGCTGCTAGGAAACAGTCCAGCAAACAGTGACATCTATCACTAACATGCACAAAACATGTAAACTTTAAAAAATGCACGTGTGTAGATACTGCATACATGAGGGAGTCCTGGTGTAGCGCTTCAGGATAATGCATCAGACCGTAAGGTCGATGTCAACAGCAAGGTGGCAGTTAAAACCCACCGTGCACGCCTCAGAGACCCTCTACAGGGTCGCTATGAGTTGGAACTGACTCGACAGCACATAACAACAACTAGGTTAAACCAAGAAAAGTTATGGTGGGAAAAGAATGAAATTAGCTAAACGGCAAATCATGCTTTTCTGAAAGCAAGGGACTAACAGAACTTTCGCCTGATTCCATGTCATCAACATCCCCAGTGAGAAAAGACACAAACAGAACAAGATTGAGCAATGAGAAGGAAAAAAAAAAACACCACCACCAGACTTTTGTTATTCACGGTTCCCTAACAATGCCAGAAGTAGTTTTTTTCCTTTAATGTGGAGTCTAGGTCTCACATGGTATAAAAACCTTACATTTCACTTATTTATGGATTTTTCTGTCCTACCTTTACTTTATCCTCCATTGGTTTATTTTCATCAGGGTCTGGCTGTCTTTGTCCTAGGCTGTCAGAAAGTTGATCCAGGGCATCATCTAGTTCTTTGTTGTCACTTTGCTAAAAAGTAAATGATTCTGAGTTAGTCACCATCAACCACAACACATCAAAGGCAAATCAGCATAGAAACTCATTCTTTCCAGAAGGAGACTTATTATCTTGCAAAATGAAGACATTGGGGGTTAGGGTAAGGTCAGACAGGGTCAGAGAAAGAAATGCTGAGAGTGAAAGATAGGGAACACTGAGCAGATCATCTATTTGGCTAGACACCTGCTTCCATCCATGTCTGCCCATCTCCTAGGAAAAATCTCTGCAAGATTCATGGGCAGCTAAGTGGCAGGGTCAGGGGCCACACTACAATAGTTTAGACAGAGAAATTTCAAATGCAAATGAATCAATCATATTCCTTTCATTTAGAAGTTAAAACATGATTATAAAAAACTAAAGTTCACAGAGACTGATGGCTAGGAAATCAAGATTTTTATAATCATGAGCTTTTCTTTGCTTTTGTGGATACCTCTCTAAGGTGCATTTCATAAAGTACAGTATGGCCAAAGGCAGATGGTGGATGCTTAGGGAGTTCAGCACTGCCTTCCCAATACTTCTTAGACCACAGAATCCCAGAGACAATCTGCTGTTATGAGAAAGAGAAGGATCAAAAGACTTCAAAAGCCTTCTGAACAGGTGGAATGTCTCTCTTCATTGTCAAGAAACCCAAGGAAGCTAAACTGAAGAATGGAGGCTACCTGGTATTCTAGGAGGAAAAAAACCAGGGCCACAGAACAATCATGATCAAATTAACAAAAGCTAATTTCTACTACCATTTATTTATTGTATGATTCAGGAAAATTATTTAATACCCTGAGCCTCAGTTTCTTTGGCTATGAAATGTAATGAAATGTTCAAGGCGCTGAGCAGATAAAATAATTGAAAAGGCATTTAAAAGAATACTTGGTTCCATGTCAGCACATAACATTATGAAAGTGAAATCCAAAAACTATTTTTATTAACATTTTCAAATAATGACTTCCATCTCTATTCTATATGAATTCAATTAAAAACGTGTATAATATCTACACTGTATAAGATATTATACTTGGCTGTCTTACACACTACAGAACCTACAGTTTATTTCCAAATATTTTCAAATACATTATCCAGTTTTATATGCTTTCAAGGACTCTTGGAGGAAAAAAAATCAACCACCAAGCTCAGAAAAGCTGTCATTTGCCTGAAATCACGATGTTAAAGCAAATGAGACTCAGGTCAGGAGACTGAACAGGTCATTTTCCCTACTACACCCAGTCACAGCTAAGTGCTTCTGTTCCCTTCTGAAGAAGCTTTTCCCACTGGACTCCTGCAAAGCATGTCTTCAGGTGTTTTCAGTATATGTAATACTGCTGCTAACTCAATCTTATCTGTTTGTAGCAAAGAAAACTCACATGAATTATGATACTTTACTCTTTGATTTCCAAGTACATTCATTTAAACAAAGGCTTATTCCTAGTTTTAATGATATCTTCAAAAAATTATTATTAATATTATATGTAAATATATTACTAATAAGGAGCTCTGGTAGCATAGTGGTTATGATTCGGGCTGCCAATCTCAAGGTCAGCAGTTCGAAACTACCAGCAGTTCTGCGGGAGAAAGATAAGGCGTTCTGCTCTTGTAAAGATTTATAGCCTCAGAAACCCTGTGCAGCGTCACTATGAGTCGGAACCGACTCCATGGTACTTAATAACAACAACATATCACTAATAAATACTTGTTGTTGTTGTTAAATGCTGTTGACTTATAGGGACCCTGTTTACTGTTTCCAAGACTTTATATACTTTGGGAGCAGAAAGCCTCATCCTTCTCACGCAGAGTAGCTGGTGGGCTTGAACTGCGGACCTCGTGGTTTGCACTCCAGTGCTTATTGAATAGAGCCACCCTATTCCATACTAATAAATATTACTAATACTTACTAACTTGTTATTAAACAATTAACTATAACAGAAGTGGTTAGACAAATGAGGCTGTAAACACAACCCTGGTGTGTCACAATAGGATAAGTACTGGACTGCGAACTACAAGGTCGCTGCTCCACGGAAACCCTGATCAGGATCACTATGAGTTGGAATGGACTCAATGGCATTTAACAACAAAAAACACAATAGAAGACTTTTGATAAGTAATGCATGTGAAAGTTGAACAGTGAATAAGGAAGTTGGACAGTGGAAAGGAAGACCAAAAGTTGGACAGTGAAAAGGAAGACCACAGAAGAATTGATGCTTCTGAGTTATGGTGTTGGAGGACAGTACTGAAAAGTACCATGGACTGCCAAAAGAACAAATAGCTCTGTGTTGGAAGAAGTACAGCCAGAGTGCTCCTTGGAATCCAAGATAGCCAGATTTCGTCTGTCATACTACAGATATGTTGTCAGGAGGGAACAGTCACTGGAGAAGGATATCATATTTGGTAAAGTGGAGGGTCGGAGGAAAAGGAGGAAGACCCAGTGAGATGGATTGGCATAGTGGTGGAAATGATGGGCTCAGTCAGAGCAACGGTTGTGAGGTTGGCCCAGGACCAGGCAGCATTTCATTCTGTTGTGCATAGGGTCGCTATGAGACGGAATTGACTCGATGACACCTAATAACAACAATGTTAAGTTATAACCTCATTCAGGTTAGAAGCTCTGAGTATCATGAAATGTAAATGGTTGCTCAGGCCATTAGTGTTCTTCCTTCCTGTAGCACAAGGACTCTTGTCATCATGGGTATGTGAGTACAGACACACACACACACACACACACACACACACACACACACACAGCATTTTACTTGCTTCACTGGAATCCAGAATTATAGTTGCTAATGCCTCTGGACAATTTCAGATGATCCTGAAGCTGACCCAAACAAGGAAAATCTATTCAGAAACTCAGACTGCAGTAGTAAGCAAGTTTTGACATGATATCAAAAGGGAAAGAAACATAGCTGCCTTCATTGAAACCTCTCCGTCTCCACTAAGCAAACAGGCACTAGTTCACTGAACTCAACCAAAGGCACTGTGCCATCTGAGGCAGTCCTTTCATCTTTTGATGTGCTGTGGCCCAATCTGTAATGTGTAATTTGGTACTGAACAGATAATGAATCAAGGAAAGTCTGGAAAAGCTTTGGTACCCCAGCCTTCCCTCAGAACATGTAAATAAATGAAACAATATTGATGTTGAGCTTATTCTACTACAAAAATGACAAATTCTGGTGTGAGTAGGAGGAATACAATGTTATTTCGTGATATGTTTGTGATTTTTTTTGGAGGAAGAGAAGCTTAAACACAGAGCAACTGCATAAAATAAATGAGGTTTAATAACATGGTAGAGTCCTGGTGTGGCACTGTGGGTTAGTGCACCAGACTGCAATGCTGTTTGAACTGCAAGGCTTGTGGTTCAAGCTCACCAGCTGCTCCTCTGAAACCCTACACAGGGTCTCTATTGGTCAGAACTGACTCGATGGCATTTAACAACAACAACAAATAATATGGTAGTCAATTACAGTATGTGCTAGGAAAAACATACAAGGAGGAGAAAACCAGTTATACCAGGAAAGCCAAAATATCTTTTTAATGAAAAATCTGAGTATATGTAGTTGTACTTTCAATTTGAATAAAGCAGCAATATTAAAGATTTCAAGTGAGTTTAAAAATGTTCACATACATTGTTCCATTTAATTAATCAAAAGTAATCCGTCATCTCTCAAATTGCTAGCCTTGCCTTAGCTCTTTGAAAGAGAAGGTGCCTGGTCTTATTAATGACTTTGTTTTCATTTTTTAAAACGACCCCCTCTTTTCTTCCCTGGGGATTCCTTCTTCTGCATGTTGTTGCAAAAATGCTATCTCTTACTTTATATAAATGGAATCCTGGTGTGGCGCTGTGGGCTAATGTGTCAGACTGCAAAGTAGTTTGAACCACAAGGTCGGTGGTTCAAGCTCACCAGCAGCTTCTTGGAAACTCTATACAGGGTCGCTATGGGTTGGAATTGACTCAATGGCAATTAACAACAGCAACTTTATATAAATGGTAGTGGAATAATATAGAGAATAGGGAGAATGATTACACAACTTAAAGAATATAATTAAGGTCACTGAATTATACTTTTACCACAATAAAAAAATAAAGACAGGTTGCTTACTGGGGTCTTAGGGGGTGATCTTGCAGAATGGGTGGTTGAAGCTGGGGTTTGGGAAACCACTTCAGAAATCACTGCAGAAAGTTTAGCATCTTCAAATTTCTTTTGTAAAAAAAAAAAAAAGAAAAGGTTTGTTTGTATCAGTAATATATATAAAATTGTGTCCATAAAATCATGTTAAACATAACTCTTTTTATAACTGCTTATTCTCTTGATCCAAATAGAAATAGTCACTCAATCTTAAAAGCAATTCTATTCTACTTTCTTTTATAGAATATTATTTATATTTAACAGCTTTCTATTTCTAATTCATATTTTTCTAAATACTGTTCAATAATCTAATATTGTAGAATCCCATTATGTGCTTATATATTCATTGCTATACATTTAAGTTGTTGGCAATTTTTCAGCTTTCATCTTCACTACTTAGTGCTCTAATTTCTAGAAGTGGGTCTTTTTACAGTGCTGGCTATGTTCTGCCAGACTGCTCACTCAAAGGTTTGCAGGAATTACACTGCCAAGAACAATGGACAAGTATACCTGTGTTCCCTCAAGCTTTGCTTGCCAGCATTAGATTTTTAACACATAGTTTTGTTTTTATTGTAGGAGTAAAATGATACACTATTGTTTAAATTCTGTGGTATACAGTATGAGGTTTCAGTTTCACTTTTTCTCAGTGTTCAACATAAATTCAAATACATCTTTTATATAGATATATGACTTGTCTTTATTTTATATTGTTGTTGTTAGGTGCCATACAGTTGGTACCAACTCATAGCGACCCGTGTTATAATGATTTATTTTTCTGGCTGTTGAATGTTTAATTTCTAATAATGGTTAAGAGTACTTTAATAAGTTGCTATGTTCTATTTGTCAGTCCTCGTGTGGCACTGTGGGATAAGTTAGGATAAGTACTGGACTGCTAAACGCAAGGTTGGTGATTCAAACCCACCAGCCACTCCTTGGAAGCCCTATACTGGATCTCTATGAGTAAGAAAAGACTCGACAGCACTTAACAAGAATTTTTATATTCACAGATATAATAGTTGTAATATAATTAATTGGCCATATTCACCAAGTTTTCAGGTTAGGACAATAATTATATAACCAATTAACTAGAAGACCTTATTTTTAAGGACAATTTTATGTCACATGGGAACTAGCTGAGAATTAGAAGCATGAAAAGTTATCTCTAAACCTCTGATGGAAAGAAGGTTTGAGAATTGTTCTAATCTTTCTTCTTTAGTTTAAGTTATGTGAACAATACTGCTCTACATTTTTATTAAAATATTTCTTGGAAAATTGTGTATAATATTTTTTAACAATTTAGTTGCTCTCATACTGATTATTATTTTCACTTTAAAATCGTACTGCTAATATTATTTTTCCGAATTCTATTTGGCATACTTACAATTTATATTGTAAGACACTTAGACAAATTCATTTGTTGGCTTTGAACAGTTAATCATTTAGTTGACCTTTTAACTCTGATTGCTATATTGTTCTAATTAAAAATTTAACTGTACTTTATTTGCAAGATTTATTTTCCTCTTTCACATTTACTAGTATTTTGAAATAAATAAAACTGTATAAAATAGCAGTTAACATTTCATTAAAAATGCTGTTTTCGTCTTCTAGTATACTTATAGCTACTTTCCTTTGGGTTGTCACTTCATTGCATCTTTTAAAATTTTACATATAAACTTCAATGAACAGTTGATTTCTCAAGTTTTTCTTTTCATTACTGATGAAGGCACTTATGGTAATAAATGTAGCTCATGAATACTACACCACATCTCAAAAATTTTAATTTGTAATATCACCAATTTTTAAAATCTATTCTAAATTTGGAGTCCTGGTGTGGGCTAATGTGCTGGACTGCAAAGTCAGTTTGAACCGCAAAGTTGGCAGTTCAAGTTCACTTGGAAATCCCATATAGGGTCGCTATGGATCAAAACCAACTTGACGGCACACAACCACATTCTAAATTTATTTCTTCATGAGGAGGATATTTACATATTTCTTATAAAAGCAGAATTGGTTCTATTTTACAAAGATCAAAGTAAATGGTATGTTTGGTATCAACAATTACTTTCTTAATACGTGAGATGGTCTTTATAATCTAATACATGATATTTTTTCTCTAAATTTCTTGGGATCATTTAGTTTTAACCACATCAATTATTTCAATTTATTAATACCTTTTACACTGATAAATGTTTTCCAGTGGTAGACTGATTTTTCTATGAGTAAAATCTGTTTAAAAATTGTTTTATCTCTAATCATTCACTGCATTACACCTTCTTTTTGTGCTGAAGATAGCACATATAAATTCAATGTTATACTAAAAAAATTTTTGAACGTTTAAAATGAAAAGATTCCTAACTATTGAAGTAATAATGACAGTGAGGATGAGGAAGGTACGTCAGGTAATATTCCCACAATCTGGTCTGCATCACTGTCATGGGATGACTGTATATTATTGGGGAGCTGTTTCCTTATACTGCTTATACTGCAGCCTGTAACTTAGTACCTTGCAGTGTCTGAATCAGGGCTTGAGTGCTTCTGTGTGACATGGTCTGTTTGCATGGAGGTAGGCGAGAGGAAGGTAATGCCATGAGGGCTTAGTGAAGATTCTTCATGTCACCGTCCAAAGCGGAACCTATAAATCTGTTTTCCAACTACCTTCCAACAATAAAATTCAGTAGCTGAGAACCTGGGTTCCCTGTAAATAGATAACACCTCACAAAAAAAGGCAGTGCAACCATCTATGTTTGGGAACACTAAGACTTCAAATCTATGTCTGCATATAGAAGGTTTTGATAATCCTACAGTAGTGAAACATTAACCAAACCTCTTCACAACAGAATCCCCTTTGAAAGACCATCTATTTATTCTACATGAAGCTAAGTTTTCCTGGAAGGGAGTCTGGAAAGTAACAAGTTGTACAAATATCAACAGGTAAAGTTATTGTCTGAGACATAATTTTGGATAAATTAAGATTTAAATTTTCTTTCCTAAGATGTGCTTGATATAGAGTATGATCACTGGTTCAATTATGCAAACTATTGAAAACAACCACTAAGTTGAAGGCCATTAACTCGGTGATTTTCTTCAGCAACCAAGTCAGACTCTAAGTCACAGGTTTCTATTTACTTCCACCATCCTAAGTGTAAAACCAGGAGTTTCAGACTTACAAGAGATGAAGTATTCTGGAGACCAGAGAAATCCTCAGACAAAGCTTCGAGAAGGAGATCTTCACTCATAGGCTACAAGAACAAGGAAATGCATCAACACAGGACAGGTGTCATCTGGCTCCTCTTCAAAACAAGGTCACTATTTGTATGTTAATTGGCACTGTGGGTTAATGCGCTGCACAGCAAAGTCAGTTTGAACTCCAACGTTGGTGGTTCAAACTTACCAGCTGCTCCTTGGTAACAACATACAGGGTTGCTATGGGTTGGAACTGACTCAACAGCACTTAACAGTAACAACAAACTCACTAAAGGAAAGCTATATCTTATTTGAATTAACAACCAGGGGCCAAATGAGAGAGAGAGCTAGAGAAAACTAATTTGCTTACCGGGAGCTGTTCCTTGGGCTCTTTTGGCAAAAGTGGTTTTCCATCTTTGTCCTATGCAGAAATGATAATACAAATAAACAAAACCAACATGGAATTTAATCATTTCACATCTTACCTCAAGTATACTTTGCAAACACACAAGGGATCAATAGGTTATAACTGATGTATATAAACTAGAATCATTATTTCAGGAAACACATTCTTTTACCAGTAAGCACATCAGGCATTTGTTAGGCATGGGAGATGCAAACAGGTTAGGAATGGTTTGTGACTCCACTAGTCCATAAACTAGTAGAGAAGAGAAACATGTGAAGAGTCAGTCTAATGTGACGTGTGTTGTGATGTTAGTTTTGGAACTACCGGAGCATGGAGAGGAGTCATTCTTGGCCTGGAGTGTGGGCTTCACAAAGGCTGCTTGGAGAAAGCTGATGAACTTTAGAAGCCATGCACTCACCTAGTATGTGTTGATTATGTACCGAGTTCTGTACTAAACCTTGGAAAAACAGTAAATAGAAGAGTCAGAAGTCCTTGCCCTCATGGAGCATATAGATGTGGGTGGAACGTGCTGAAACTTTTGACTCAGATTATGCCAAGCTTTAAAACGACTCTAAATGCCACTTTTGATTTTAAAGAATAGAATCCATAAAGCATTTGAGGCTTTTTAATAAAAGGTGGCTTATAAATTAAGGACAATTTCCATTTATCCACGTACACAAAAATACACAAGCACAAAGCTATCTCTTTGGAGATTTCTACTGAGAAACTTGGTGAGGTATTTTATTTGATTTAAATGTGGAGTGCTGGTGATGTAGTGGGTTACGTGATGTTTTGCTAACTGTAAGGTAAGCAGTTTGAACCCACCAGTCACTGCAAAGGAGAAAGATGAAGCTACTGTAAAGATTTACAGTCTCAGATAGCCTAAAGGTGGTTCCACTCTGTCCTACAGGATCACTCAGACTTGACATAAGTAAGTTTCATTTAAATGTTAAAAGGTGCTGTAGTTTAGAGGCATCCAGTGCTTCTTTCCCTCTTAACTGACAAACTCTTTATCCCCTTTTCTATCTGCTTTGCAGGTTCACTTGTACCTTCTGATCACTCCTCAAGTAGCAGGGAAAGCAGAAGTTGGGCTTGCTCTCTACCACCCCTCAGCTGCAAAGGCAGCAAACAGCCAAGTGCTACACAGGGTCACTGTTGGTGTTGTTGTTCTGTGCCATCGAATCAGTTCCGAATCCTAGCGACCCTGTATAGGGTTTCCGAGGAGCAGCTGGTAAGCTTGAACTGCCAACGCTATGTTTCAAACTGACTTTGCAGCCCAGCGCATTCACCCACAGCGCCACTCTAGGACTCACATAGGGTCATGGGAGCACTTTTATCCCACACTCAAAAGGAAATGTACTCTGATCATTTTCTAGTCACCTCTGCATGGGGAAAACTTGAGGTCTGCCCTCACAAGGCTAAATCTTACTGAACAGGTCCAGCGTGAGTGTAACTGGTTGTTTAAGTGCTGTTGAGTTGGTTCGGACTCATAGGACCCTGTCTAGGGTTTCTGAGAATCAGATTGTGGGTTTGAACTGCCGACCCTGAAGTTTCAAGCGACCTTGTGGTCCAGTGCATTATCTGGCAGCATCACACTAGGACTCCTTGAGCATAACCGGTGGATAACAATGTGGGATTTAAACAAGAAGTCAAGGTAGCAACTGAAAATGCTATAAAGCAATATTGATAAATAATGTGGGAGAAAATTTTAGATGAGAGTGAAACTACAACTGAATAAATTTGTGAGGACTAATCATCTACTCACTTAAAAACTGTATCTGAAATTAGGGAAGGAAAAGCGTTATCTTGGGCATGACCAGCTTCTAGGAAATGGGGAAATAGAGAAAACATACATGTGGCCTGAAGCTCTAAGAGCACTTGTAAAGCAACATAACACACAAACCCAAAGTAACAGAAATGCTGTGGTCCCAACTGAACTGTGAAATGCAAAAAAGGAAGCAAGATAAAGGTATCCAGAATAATACCCATTTTATCAGGGAGAACTTAGTACTGTTTCTGTGTTTCCTGCATCAGTGAATTAGTGCATATGGAGTACCAATTTGAGTTTCCTGAGTTAGTAATGATGCAGAAACAAACTAGTCTTTTAGCAGAGGCTCATTATAAAGATGGCTAATATTACACTCAAGTAGCTTAACTGTAAGATTCAAGTGGGGGCTGCCCCGTCACTTGTTCTTTAGAATCTACAGGGTCCCTATGCGTTAGAAATGATCCAACGGCATTTAACAACAATTAGGATATTAGTAGATTATATTATTTGGTGTCTAAACTGTTAAACAAGATCTTCATATCCAGGTTTGTTCCTATGTCTCTGCTGTATGCATATGAATTCAGGATGAACTGAAATAATACAGAAAACAATCCCAGAATGTTTACCTTGGTCTCTTCTAATCTGTAATCAGGGGGGATGGTTTCTTCTTTTTCACCAAGTTTTTCACGGTCTTCTTCTTTAGCTTTCTCCTGAAAAAAAACAACCAAATTATATGAAATTCATTGTTAATAGATCATTTCCCAATACACAGATACTTGAGTGACTGAATCTGAAGAAAAGAACTGCATCATTAGGCTAGCATATATGAGGGGGATTCTATTCCACATATTTTTGATGCATTCTCATAGATATTAACTTTATAATCAAGTCCATATAGCAACTAAACCACTAGCACTAGTGTAGATGCCACCATGAAGCACACTGGGCTCAAAGGGAGGCCCGAGAAACAGCAGACAACTGCCATTTCTCTCAGAAGTCTAGTTCCTCAGCAATGTGAATGCAGGTAGGGAAATGGGAAATTCTGCTACATAGCTCTCTCTATTCATTTATTGCTACAGTTAGACACTGATGCTTACTCAGGCTTAATTTAGTAAGCAGAATATGCAGAGTAATATATAGAAAGCCACCTAGTCATGTTTTATGGGAAATACATGTAAACATATATAACTAATGTTTGGAGGGCAGATCCATGACAGTTACTTTCTAGAAGTATCTGAATTGCCATTACCTTGATTTTATCCACCACAGGTTTTCCATCTTCTGGATCTGCTTCCTTTTTCCCCAGGCTACCAGCCAAGGCTTCAACAGCATCGTCTGGCACCACACCCTTCTAGAAGTACATTAGTGAATATCCTAAGTAAGTGGTTAATCACTTCTTTTAAAACAGACTGTATCAAACAATTCTGAGAGGCATATCTTATTCTACACCCAGCTAAGCACCACACATCACCTAATAATTTAAATGTCTTTAAAAAATATTTAAATTGTTAAAAAATTAACACAAGAATACTATTACAATAAATATTAAGTGTGCATAATTTAGATAATTTATGAGATCTACCCAACATATTTTCTCATGGAAGCCGCAGCCAAGAAACCAAATGAGGTATTGCATTAGACAAATTTGCTGCCAAGACCTCTTTAAAGTGTTCAAGAGCAAAGATGTCAGCTTGAGGACTAGAGTATGCCTGGCCCAAACCATGGTATTTTCAATATCCTCATATGCATGTGAAAGTTAGTGAATAAGCAAGACCGTAGCAGAATTGATGCATTTGACTTATGGTATTGGAGAAACATAATAAAAGTCCCATGGACTGCCAGAAGAACAAACAAGTCTGTGTTAAAAGAGATACAACCAGAACTCTCCTTAGAAGCCAGAATGGCAAGACTTTGTCTCTTGTACTTCGGATATGTTACCAGAGAGACATCATGCTTGGTAATGTGCTGTTGTTAAGAACTGGTGAGTTGACTTTGACTCATTGCAACCTGAATCAGGGTTTCTGAGAAGCATCTGGTAGGTTTGAACTGCTGACCTGTGGTTTATAGTCCAGTGTTGACCCTACAGCACCATACCAGGAGTCTGGTAAAGTGTAGGGTCAGCAAAAATAGAGGAAGACCCCCAGCAAGATGGACTGGTGCATTGGTAGCAGCAATGAACTCAAGAGTAACAACAATTGTGCGGCTGGTGCAGGACTGGGCAGGTTTCACTCTGTTGTGCCTAAGGTCTCTATGAGTCGACACCAACTCGATGGCACCTAATAAAAACAACAACCCAGACTATTGTGGTTTAGAAGTAAGAAAGGAAACGAAATGAGGTACTATGGAGAAGCTAAAACTCAAAAAAGAAAAAAGTGGTCTTTAATGAAATCATTTGTATTAGATGACATAGGAAAATTTTCATAAAGGCCACAAAAGGACATTCTTCCCAAATCTCTGTGAAACAGTCTAGCCTGTTACAAGGAGGAGGTTCAGACTGAGCCTATTTTCCCTGGGGAATATAGGGGAAGAGCATTCTACTTGTCAAAGTGGAACCATGACTGATTCCAACGACTCTGCCTATGATGAAGTTAACCTGAGTGGCATCTAAAGACTGTCTACCTGTGTTCCATGCTCAAAATGACATGTGGTCCCTCATGATGTAATGAGCCCCCAGCCAGTCTGGTATTCCAAATGAAACTGGGTGAACACAGATGTTATAAAGGGAAAATAAAGGAGAAATCATATCTGCGCTAAAAGATTATATTAGACCCAAACTCTAGGTCATGATCCAGTCACTGTTGCAGTTGTGTACCATCAAATCTGTTCCAACCCATAGCAACCCTAGACAACAGAATTGTCCCAAAGAGTTTCCTACGCTAAAATCTTTACTGGAGCAGATCTCCAGCTCTTGTTTCCCACAGAGCAGCTGGTGTGTTCAATGTTACCACAGTGACACCTGGGCTCATCGAGTCATTCATTAGTGACTCGATTCAATTCAATGATTTGTGACATGGACTTTAAAAAATAATAAAAGTCATAGAAAATATCACATATAAAATGGGTAAGTACCATTTATTTAACTACTGCTTCTGTTATGTGGGTACTGAGTTGCAGTATAAGAGAATACAGATTCCTACTCTTGGTTTTGGTCAAAAGTGTGAAAATCCCAGGATTAAATAACTTCAGAGTTTATTCTTATCACAATTTATGACCTCACATTGAGTATTAGAATTTAAGTATAAAATTATCTTTTCTGCTTATATATCTTGGCCATCATTCAAGTTAGAAAAAGTGTTTTCCTGCAACACTGTTGTACAAAAGCAAAGCTCACCGAAGTGGAAGAGTGGACTGAGTAGAAAGCTATTTATTGCCACCTGGTGGCTGGATACTGCATTGATTCTCTTCCTAGGAAGAACAGAAACCCCTGGTAATCGGACCTTGATAAAGAGCTCTGGTAGCATAGTGGTTGTGAAACTTAAGGTCAGCAGTTCAAAACCACCAGCTGGCTGTTCTGGAAGAAAGATGAGGCTTTTTTCTCCTGTAAAGATTTACAGCCTTGGAAACCCTGTACAGGGTCACTATGGGTCACTTAACAACAACAATCTAACCTCTTGTTAGGGATTATATCTAAAGTGCAAGAGTTGCCACTGTGCCAAAATCTTCCTTAGCCAATCTGATTCCAGATACCTGCTTAACACTTTTCTTCAGTTTGTCACAAAGAATTCAAAAATTGTCTGCTATAGAATGTTGGAAACCACAGCTTCCCAAACCTCATTTAATAAACTGGTGAAACCGTTATAGAAAAGTCAGGAAAATCAGCAGTCTTTATGAACAAAAGAAACTGGAAACGTGACTAACACTGGAAACATGACTCACAAAGACTAACAAACACTTCAGTTTCTGGAGTATTTCATGTTGTCACTGGATTTCTTAAATAATTATTTTTATACAAATAAGACCATATAGGCAACAATTTCATCTTCTCTGATCTTTCTCTGTGTGCCCCTTTGTTCATGAGTCCTTCAGCCTTTTCTGGAGTCCTTTGACCTTTTTCAGACTCCTTAACTATTCTTTCTGGCCCAGAGTTGCCACAATCCCTAGAAATGCCAATTGCTCAACAACTGTAGCTGGAGTTGGTACAGAAAAAGGCCCAGAAAAGAAGGCCAGAAAGTGAGAAAAGAGCTCTGTTTCTATGATCGCTAAATTTATATTTTCGACTCCACAGTCAGGGTCAGGATGGAAAAGAACTGAGACTTCTAGGGACTGGCAGTCACAAATATAGCACGCTCGGGTAACAGGAGTTCTGCCCTACAATGCTGGCAAGTGTCTTGATTCTCATCACTGCCTCCGATTCTTCCATCAGTCTTTTCCCACATTCTCTCATCCTTTCCTGTTTTTTACCACTATGGCCTGTGGTCTGACACCCACAATATACAAGATCTCTGAAGAGTACTCTGTAACCTAAAAAAACAAAGCCAAAAGTGGGGCCAAGTCTTATCTGAGGCAGGAAGGAGGTCTTGGACTCTCACATGTTTGCAGTTGGCACCAGACAGCCCTGGCAGGAAGCACCAAAGGCCCTTGTCCCACACCGTCAAGGTCACTTTTTCTCACACTACTGAACACACATATCCTAAGCACACCCAGTGATTCAGACATCTGTGCTAGCCTGTCTTCAGCTCACTTTCCATCCAAGACAATGAGGCTGGCTATTCCTGCTACTTAGTGTGATGTTACATTCTACCCATCCACAAGCCTTCCTTAATTCCTCCTGTAAAGAAGTTCTTTCTCTCATCTTCCCCTGTCCTCTTTCCATGTAGGAGTAATCACATTGGCCTGTAAGCTTGAAATGTGTTTGGTATTCACACTAGGAAGGCAGCTGTGTCTCTTATCTCAACTAAAGCTCTGAAAGGCTCAGTGATTGTTCCAGGTCAGCCCCAAACCTTCATTTCCTTCATCTCAAATAGGAAGATGATCTCAACAGACTAAATAGTGTCCTGTGAAAAAGTAATCCGAAGATTTTGTAAAGCATATTTAACAATACCATAGATGATAAAGGTTAGCATGCAAAGTGAGGCTTCACGAAGTCTGTAGTACGGAAACATTTCATCAGATGTTAATCAATGAGCCAGGTTATAAAATAAAACTCAGTGAATTTAAAGGAAAACCAAAGAACAGTAGATAACAATAGTTACATCAGATTTCTTTCATCTATTTAGTAGAATAAAATGATAAAAACATACACACATAACAGCAGAAAGTATAGGAGAAGAAAAATGGAACATTCTCAAAACATTTCTCAATATCAAGGGCTTACTCACCAAGGTAGCTGGTTTAGGTGGTGCTGCCTGAACACTACACATTGAGGTTTTAGGGACAGTCTCTTGCACAGGAGTTGGGGCTGGGGTCTTAGATTCCTGAGGAAAGAAGAAAGTATGCAGTTTTAGAATTATCTGGTTAGTTGTACTGAACAATTTGGCATCAACAATACACTGTGAATATTGTTCAAGGTGCCCAGGGATTTGTTGAGTAGCAAGCTTGGCAAGGTACGCGGACACTCTTCAGCTTTCATTACTCCAGCCTAGGTTAGTATTTTTCCTAAGGTAGGTTTCTTAACCTCTCTAAGAATCAGTTTCCATGTTTGTAAAATGAGGACAATGGAAGTACCTAAGCCTCAAGGCACTGTTGGGTCAGCAAAGGACTGTGAACAACAAGATTGGCAGTTCATATCCACTAGTTGCTTCTTGAAAACCTACATAGATAGGGTGGCTATGAGTTGGAACTGACTTGACGGCACTATTAACAACAAACATACTTTGTATAGTATTTGGGAAAACAGTGAGTTAAAAATGTTAGCAATCATTGTTTTTATTTGCCATCAGGTAACATAATATATAATAAAATTTACCAATTATTCAGTTGTTGTTAAGTGCCATAGAGTTGGTTCCAGCTCATAGCGAACCTGTATAGGGTTTCCAAGGAGCAGCTGTTGGGTTTGAATGGCAGTCCATGTGGATTACAGTCCAGTGCTGATAAACAGTGCCCACCAGGAGTCATATATGTTGTTGTTGTTGTTGTTAAGTGTCGTCATATATAGTACAATATAATGTCTTGTTAAGTGCCATGGAGTTGGTTCTGACTCAAGCAACCCTGTATAGGGTTTCTGAGGAGTAGCTAGTGGATTTGAACCACCAATATGGTTAAGGCAGTCCAATGTATTTCCTACAGCACCACATTGTTGTTGTTGTAAGGTGCCATCGAGTCAGGACCAACTCACAGCAGAACGAAATACTGCCCAATCCTGGGCCAACCTCACTACTGTTGCCACACTTGGCCAATCCATTTCATTGGGGGGTCTTCCTCTTTTTCTCTGACCCTCCACGTTACCAAATACGATATCCTTCTGCAGTGACTGGTCCTTCCTGACAATATGTCCAAAGTATGAGAGACTAAGTTTGACCATCTTGGCCTTCAAGGAGCACTCTGGCTGACTTCTTCCAAAACAGATCTATTGGTTCTTTTGGCAGCCCATGGCACTTTCAATAGCATCAATTCTTCTATGGTCTTCCTTATTCACTGTACAGCTTTCACATGCATATGAGGTTATTGAAAATACCATGGCTTGGGTCAGGCGTATCTTAGTCCTTAAGCTGTCATCTTTGCTCTTCAACATTCTAAAAAGTTCCTGTGCAGCAGATTTGCCTAATGCAATACGTCGTTTGATTTCTTGACTGCTGCTTCCATGAGTGTTGATAGTTGATCTAAGAAGAATGAAGTCCTTGACAACTTCATTCTTTTCTCCATTGATAAGTATGTTGTTTATTGGTCCAGTGGTGAGGATTTTTGTTTTCTTTACATTGAGATGCAATCCATACCGAAGGCTGTGGTCTTTGCTCTTCAGTAGTATTTTAAGTCCTCTTCTCTTCCAGAAAGGTTGTACCATCTGCATATCGCAGGTTGTTAATGAGTCTTCCTCCAATCCTGATGTCACATTTTTCTTCATAAGAAAAACATAAAGTAAATGTTGTTAAGTGCCATCAAGTCAGTTCTGACCTATAGTGACCCTGTATAGGGTTTCCAAGGAGTGAATGGTAAGCTTGAACCACCGACCCTGCTTTAGCTATATGTAAATGTTGTTGTTGTTTTTAAGTGCTGTCGAGCTGATTCTGACCCATAGCGACTCTGTATACTGGTTTCCACTGACCTTGCAGTTCAAACAACTTTGCATTCTGAAGCATTAGCCTACAGTGCCACACCAGGACTCAACTGTTGTTGTTGTTAAGTGCTGTGGAGTCCGTTCCAATAGCTATATGCAAATGTGGATTCCTGGTGTGGCATTGTAGGATTAGCACTAGACTGTGAACCATGTGATGGCAATTCAAACCCACCAGCTGCTCCTTGGAAACTCTATACAGGGTTGCTGTGAGTTGGAACTGACTCGACAGCACTTAACAATAACAATAACAACATCCTATATTCTAAGGAGCCCTGGTTAACATAGCCATGTTATCACTTGGTACTACAAGGTCAACAGTCTAAATCCTACAGCGCCACACCAGGACTGCTGTATGTAGGGTGCTATTGTTGTTGTTAAGTGATGTCAAGTCTAATCTGACTCATAGCAACACTCTATAGGCTTTCTAAGGCTATACATTTTTATGGGAACAGAAAGCCTCATCATTCTCCCATGGAGCGTTCTGCTGCCATAAAGATTATAGCTTCAGAAACCCTATGCAGGGTAGCCATATGAGTCAGTACTGACTTGACAGTACTTAGCAAAAACAGCCCGAGATACACAAAATATAGTCAGAATACTTCTTTCAAAAGAAAGGATGACAAAACTCCGTCTCATTCACTTTGGACGTGTTGGTTGGAGGAACCAATCCCTGGAGAAGGACATTATTCTTGTTAAAGCAGGCAGTCAGTGAAAAAGAGAGAGACCCTCAGTGATATTGACTGACAAGAAGCTGCAACAATGGGTTCAAACAGAGCAATGCTTTAGAGATGGGACAGGACTGGGAAGCGTTTTATTCTGCTGTACACAGGGTTCCTATGAGTCAGAACCAATTCGATGGTCGCAACAACAACCTATATACAAGGTACTCAGCAGATAATCATTCAGAGGGTATTATTTCTGCTTTCAAAGAATTTGCCATCTATTCACTACATATAAATACTCAAGGTGAAGATGGGTCAACACTGGGTTATGGCAAATGCGCTAAGAGAAACTAGAGACCCTTGTCTGTGTTGTATTATAAGGGTTGGAAGGGTGGGTATGTGCTGTGGAGTTGACCCAGCATAGGACTTCTGAGGTTGTAAATCTTTACGGGAGCAGAAAGCCTCATCTTTCTCCCACGTAACAGCTGGTAGTTTCGAACTGCTGACCTTGAAGCTAGCAGCCCAACTCACAATCACTATGCTCTTTACAGAGGATTTAAATTGCAGGACTATCAGACCTGCTTAGGAAGAGGACACTCAGACAAAGGCAAGACAAAAACAGCAGGTGAAAAAGAATGGCACAATGGACTTTCTGTAGACCACTTCATGCTACAAGAGTGTTGGTCACTTTTTTTTTTTTTTATGATTATACAAAACTACCACAACAAACAGAACCATAGAGATGCATATTCGAAACGTACGTCTACCTTTTCAGTTGGCTTAGATGGTTTTTTGCTTTTAGACTGGTCAAAATCTTCCGAAAATTTATCGATGAGTTCTGATTCACTCAGGAGCTATAATATAAGAAAAATTGTATATTATGAGGTGACCAATTTTATTTTGTAAAATGTTTTCTTAGAAATTTTATCACTTGTTAACATATATTAAGCCATATCTTAGTAGCTCAAACTAGCTTATATACTTTTGAAAGTTTCTGTATTTATGGCAGAAATTTTATTAGTATACACTTTAAATGGTGCATATTTTTCATTTATCAATGTAGGATGCAAAATGTCATGAACAACTAAATTCTAAGTATTACAAAATTTTTAATGATTTATGCACTCAAAACTTTTCCTGACACTCAAGTTTCACAATAACTTTGTTCAAATAAAATAGCCTGTCTTTTCCCGGATCTTTAATTTTCTGGTGTGATTTTTTCTTTTTTCTCCTACTTCCTAATGACTTCCCTTCTGAATAAACTACAGGAAACATATACTCCTTTCCTATGTCTAAGTGTTTTTGGCAAGAAAATTCTGCTATCTTAGTTCTTTCAGTGATGCATACAGAAATTCTGACTATCAACAGTAGATAACCAATGACAGAATGGCATGAGGATTCACAATCTGGGCCCCAGTGTTGACAACGTGATTCAATAGCATGCTTCAACTAGCTAAATGACCTTGGGCAATTTACTTATCCCCCAAGTCTCAGTTTCCTCACCTGTAGAATGGGAATAATAGTGTCTTCATCAGTGAGACCAAAAAGCACCCAACACAGTGCCATGTAGAACGTTAAATGGTTAATCATGATTGGTAACTAATTGTTGCTACCAACTTAAAAGCTCAATAATCATTAAAGTATTTGATCCAATGATTAAGATCAAGCTCTACCAACTTAGTCTTAGAGCCATAGTGACATCAGCAGCTAATGTTCAAAGAATACTAATCAGTCTAGTGATGATACATGAGAAAACACTCATTAAAATATGTGAAACATAGATGTCAGCCAAGTGTTCCGGCTGAAGTGCCCCTTTCCTTCATACAAGCTTGGCATGCACAGTGGAATCTGGCTTCTCAAAAGATCTCAATTTATACTATACACTTCTTTGGTTGTTCAAGTATCAGATATAAAATTCATTTCCTAACCTTTGATTTTTCTTCAGGCTCTGGCAACAGTGGTTTTCCATCTTTATCCTGTAAATGAAAAATAGTTTATTGAAAATAAAAATCCTGTTTTCATATCCCATAAGGTTAGTTTTGGGGAATTCTGGGACATGAGAGGAGAGCTTGATTTTTTCTCTTAGATTTGAGTAAATTTGTATTTCATATTTACCTTTTATGTTGTTGTTAAATGCCATCAAGCTGGTTCTGACTTATAACAACCCTGACAGCGATTCTAAAGAACAGCTGGTGGGTTTGAATCACTGAACTTGTGGTTAGTAGTCCAGTGCTTATCCTACACCACCACACCGGAACCCCTTTCTAAAAGAATGAGAACAAGGAGTTGATATGCAATCAGGTTGATTACATTTCTCCAACAGGTGTTTATGTGGCTTTAGCAGCTTAATTAAGGAGTCCATGGACTGCCAAAAGAACAAACCAATCTGTGATGAAAGAAGTGCAGCCAGAATGCTCCCTGGAAGTCAGGATGGCCAGACTTCATCTCATACTTTGGACATGTTATCAAGAGGGACCAGTCACTGGAGAAGGATGTCATGTTTGGTAAAGCGGAGGGTCGGAGAAAACGAGGTAGACTCTCAATGAGATGGATTGGCACAGTGGTGAATGTGATGGGCTCAGGTGTAGCAATGATTGTGAGGTTGACCCAGGACTGGGCAGTGTTTCATTCTGTTGTGCATAGGGTCACTAGGAGTCAGTACCAACTTAATGACACCTAACAACAAACAACACAGGAGACTTTGGTTTGACTTGCACGGTTGGCAGTTCAAGCTCACCAGTCGCTTCTCGGAAACCCTATACAGGGTTGCTATGAGTTGGAACTGACTTGACACCCCTAACAACAACACAGGAGTCCTAGTTTGGCACTGGATCACAAGGTCAGTGGTTCAAACCCACCAGCCACTCCTTGGAAACTCTATACAGGGTCACTAGGAGTTGGAAACGACTTGACGGCACTTAGTAACACAACACAGACAATGACAGATACTGTTTACAAAATTTTACTAATAATGATATACATTTACTCTTACTTAAAAGTTACTGGGAAAAAATGTCTTCCACCCATTGGACAGGATGATAGAAAAAAATACTTGGCAAGAAAGGTAAAGTTACATTAATGAAGGATTTAAAACATAATAAAAAGATGATGCTGGGGGTGGGGGTAGTGGTGGCTGTGTGTCATTGAGTCGATTTGGCTCATAGTGACCCATGTAAGTTTCCAAGGAGCAGCTGGTGGGTTTGAAACACCAACCTTGAGGTTAGCAGTCTAATACTTATTCTAAGTGCCACACCAATTTAGGGTATTTATAAATAAATCTGAATTTTTTTTTTTGGTATAATTGTTGTTGTTTTGATGTTATAACAATTTTCTATCATGTGTTTGTTTATGTGTATTATTTCAAAGATAACTTACAAATATAATTACCGAGGTTAGTCTACCAGCCTCACAACAAACCAAAACTCCTAATGAAATCATGTTAATTAAGGATAGCTATAAATAGCTGTAAGGGGCCCTGGTGGTGTAGTGGTTAAGTGCTCAGCTGCTAGTAGAAAGGTCAGCAGTTCAAATCCACCAGCTTTCCATGGGAGAAAAGACCTGGCTGTCTGCCTTAGAAAACCTATGGGGGAGAGTTCACCTCTGTCCTGCAGGTCACTATGAGTGAAACTCAAGGATAGTGAGTGACTTTGGTATAAGTTAGCTGTACATTTGAAGTTGCCAAAGAAAAAGTCCCAAATTATTTCTTCCGCTTTAAAGTTAAGAATCTATGTCAGACATTGTTAATATCTGAAACGTTTCGATCTGTGTTCATCTAACAACTATTTTTTGGAAATCAGGCGGAGACAAACCATCCCTCAGTGGGTCTAACTGTACTGAGCAGAGAAAAAAGGGCTTGTGGTTTTTGGAATTAATATCTGAACTGGGACAGATGTGTCCTTAGCATCAAGTGTGTGGACCTGACAACATATGACACAAAGTCAAAATGAATGTGCTGCTGGTATACACGGTGGCTAAGAACTTACAACGTACCATGGCTGGTTTTAATCTGAACTCAGAAGGGACTGTTTCATCATCTTCGCCACACTTCTTTAGTTTTTCTTCTTTGGCCTTTGCCTGATGAAAGTGAGAGAGAGAAATAAGTATCTGGAGAACGCATGTAAAATGAAATGATACAACTTTTTACATGCTTCAAAGGTGTGTTGTTGTTGTTATGTGCTGTGGAGTCAGTTCTGACTCATAGTGATCCTGTACCGGGTTTCCGAGGCTGTAAATCTTTACGGAAGCAGAAAGCCTCATCTTTCAACTACCGCGGAACAGCTGGTAGTTTCGAACTGCTGACCTTGTGGTTCACAGACTGATTCGTAACCACTATGCTACCAAAGGTGTGTAGAGAAGACCAAATCAGATGCAAGGTTCTGGAAGTGCTCGGTCACAAACAGAGCATATGGTCATGGTGGGTGATTCTATGGAAGGTAGTGCAAGAGGAAAACAAGGCAGAGCCAGGAGTCCTGGGTGGGTTTTGCTGCTCTGCTTTCCTGTGCTCTGTGATCTTCGGAAAACACTTGGTCTATCTCCTGCTTAGTTTATTGAGCTATAAAATAGGGTTATTAATAATTCTTAAGATCCCTAGTGGCTGGATGGCCGTGGTTGCTAATTTGAAATGATTACCAGCTGGCTGCTAATCAAAAGACTGGTGGTTCACACCTATTCAAGGTGTTCCAAGTGAGAAAGATTTAGCAGTCTTTGCCTCCATAAAGATTACAGCCTAGGGCACCCCATGGGGCAGTCTACTGTCAGTCACAATGGGTCACTATGCATGCATTGGAATGAACTCCTCAATACACAGCAGTAATCCTTACCTAGCTCATTGACTTGTATGGCTCCACAGAGAAAACTAAAGGAAAGAGCTTTTGAGGATAGTAGGCTCCCTGCAGAAGTCAGTTGTAATCATTCTAATAATCTTCATAGGACCTTAATCAATGAGGTTGTAACTAAGGGGTGGGAGTGGGGAAACCCAGTCAACTCTCATGACTGTTAAACCCAGTTCAGAAATAGGAGAAACATCCCACCACAAATCTTAGTTGATACAGGAGTAACTAGGTTTACCTCTTTCAGTAGCACCAGGACCCTCACTGGGTTACTGGACAATTAACAACTAACCCCATCAGAAATAAAACTGCAGCTTTGTAGCCAATTACTGGTCTTCTAGAACAGAACATTCGCATTTGACCCTTAGTGAGTTCCAAGACATGGAATATTCCTGGTGTGGTGCCACAGGATACACACTGGACCTCAAGGTCAGTTTGAACCACAAGGTCGGTGGTTCAAACTCACCAGTTGCTCCTTGGATCCAACTCAGGATCGCTATGAGTCAGAACAAACTCATGGCACTTAACAACCCCAACATATCAAGGAATAAATTTAAATCATAAGGTAGTGGTACATAGGCACATAACCACTACCTTAGGCACATAAATTCCTCAGGTAGTGGTGGAGTCCTGTGGACTAATGCGTCAGACTGCAAAGTCCTTTGAACTGTAAAGATTGGTGGTTCAAGCTCACCAGCTGCTCCTTGGAAACCCTATACAGGGTCGCTATGGGTCGGAATCAACTTGAAGACACTTAACAACAACAGCAACAAGGTAGTTGTGGAGCTTGGTGTGGCATTATAGGATAAGCAGTGGACTGCTAACCACAAGGTCAGCAGTTCAAACCAACCAGTCCCTCCTTAGAAACCCTATACAGGGTCACTATGAGTTAGAACTGAACTTGACGACACTTAACAAAGTAGTGGCAAAGTCACTTAGCAAATCCGAGACCAATACGCTGTTCTTGTATACTTCTCAGCTAAGATAATAGTTCTCTGTTGACTGATTAGAGGTGCCTTGGTGGGCCAAAGGTTGAGAGTTCTGTTGATAACCAAAAGGTCAGCAGTGTGAACCCACCAGTCACTCTGTAGGAGGAAAATGTCAATCTGCTCCCATAAGAATTATAGCCTAGGAAACCCTTCAGTTTCTATCTTGTCCTATAGTCTCACTATAAGTTGGAACTGACCTGAGGCATACAACGATTTATTGATTTAAAAATTGTTTGATTTAAAACTTACCAAGCACCTTAAAGTTAGGTGTCACTTGCATAGCACCGTGCTCTCCCGTGGAAAAACCTATGGATGGATGCACAGCTAGATCCTTTCTTATCCTTGTTTATCTTTGGATCCTTTAAGTGCAGTGTACTGTGGTTTGTATATACTTGTTGTTACACACCATCAAGTTGGTTGTGTATGGTGGCAGTGGTGCTGTGCTGTGGAGTCAGTTCTGACTCATAGTGACCCTGTATAGGGTTTCCGGGACTGTAAATCTTAACGTGAGCAGAAAACCTCATCTTTCTCCTGCGGAACCACTGGTAGTTTGGAACTGTTGACCGCGAAATTAGCAGCCTGACTCGTATCCACTATGCTACCAGAGCTCCTTTGGTTATGTATGTTGTTGTTGTGTGCCGTGGAGTCGGTTCCGACTCATAGCGACCCTGTACAGAGTCTCTGAGGCTGTGAATCTTTACGGGAGAAGAAAGCCTCATCTTTCTCCCACGGAACAGCTGGTAGTTTCGAACCACTGACCTTGTGGTTCACAGCCCGATTCGTAACCACTATGCTACCAGAGCTCCTTTTGGCTGTGTATAGTAGGCACTAAAAAATGCTTTCTGAATTGAAACAGCACTCAAATTGGTTTCCAAACAAAAACAAGGGAGATAAATATATATATATAAAGAGGCCCCAATGATTAAGAATAAACATTTATGCTGCTTGTTTCTGAAGATTAAATTAGTTTTTCCACAGATCACTGTCTAGTGTGGAATGTGCTGGAATGGCAGACTCCTATAGGATGGTATTAGGTGTTGTGAACCTCCTTATCACATAGACTCTTCAAGACGTAATGAATTCACCATCTAGGAGTCCAGCTTAAAAACTCACAGAACTGATGATGTGCCTTTAAAAAACAAAAACAAAAACAA